AAAGACACTACAGCAGGGTCGCTGCTTCAACGTCACGCCAAACTTAAGACCATCATTCAAACATAACAGATTCTAAATGGTACGAGTTGGAAAGCCATTTGTTTGAACAGTTTGCAGGAGGCCAGGGACTTGTCTTTCAAGCAGAACAGGGCAAACACAAACTTAGCCGGAGTGTTTACGGTGTTCGTCGTAATGACGTACAATGGCCCTGGACAACTTCTGTAGTCCTATTCAGCCCACCATGTTATACAACATCGTTTTTCCGACCACGTAAACTCATTTTGAAAGTCACAGTGGGGCACTGCTGGATGTATTTAATGTCGTAGAAACTAAAACCGTGATCCGTCTCTTAAATGGTGTTTCAACCACAGACATTATTTCCAGCTAATTTTCCAAAATCCTATGGAGAGATCCCATTGGCTCTGAGACGAGGGAACCGGAAGTGGTGAAATGCTAACTCACTTCCTGGTTTTAGGACTCGTCACTGCACCACTCTATTGCTGGAAATCTAGTTGATTATTCTACACGTGATTTTGCATAAATATTGTGACACATAGTGTATTTACAGGTCTAGAAAACTACTGACCTGACCAAAGCAAAAAGAGTAGAACACATCACCCCAGTACTCAGGCCTCTGCACTGGCTACCAGTAGCTTACAGAATCGATTTTACAATGATATTGTTAACTTATAAAGCATTAAATGGTTTGGGACCCCAATATATGTCCGACATGCTGCCCTGTTACGAGCCCCCCAGAGCTCTGAGATCATCGGGGGCAGGCTTACTCATTGTTCCCCGGCTCAGAACCAAACACGCCGAAGCTGCTTTTAGTTTTTATGCTCCCCACAAACTTCCAGAAACCCTGAGGTCTTCACCAACGCTGAGTTCTTTTAAGTCGAGGCTAAAAACACTACTTTTTACAGCTGCTTACCCAGAAGCCTTTGTTTTAACTTGTTTTAGCACTTACCGTATTTACAATGTCGTTGCAAAGCACTTTGAATTGCCTCTGCGTCTGAAATGTGCTATATAAATAAACGTACCTTACCTTACATATTAATATGTGAGAATAATATCCTGTTATTTACTCAAACCGGCTGGAATACAGAGTTTTTGGTGGAGATGTATTCCTACGCAATGAATGAACAGAAGGGGAATAGAGGCCCTCCTGTGTAAATGATAGTAGGTTGATGAGATGAAGATGAGGGGTGTTTAGACGGGGGAGAGAGGGAGTGAGGGAGGGGCAGATTGAAGCTTCCCATGGTGATCGTCAAGAGGGAAGGCTTATGATAGGATAAAGATACATACAGCGGGGGGGGAAGGGAACAGGGAAGGAAGTGAAGGAGGATGTGTCCTCTATGCAGCGGTGTGGTCTTCTCTAACCCCTACGGCTCTGTCTTCTCAATCTCCATCCCTTAATCAAGACGAAGAACAAAGATATGCATGTTATTAAAAATCGGGCCAGTCAAAGAGAGCAACGGAGCAAGGGGAGAGAAATAAATAAATAATGGCATAGTGGAGTATAAATATAGTGATATCCTCCAGGCATGTTCTATGTATCCTTCTCTTCTCCTCGACCATTAAGGAATTCTTCTCTCTTTTAAACACGAATGAAATGGTGTTGATTTTCATCGTCTGGCTATGTCTCCACGTCCCATCTGTATTTTAGCGCCGGCTTCTAACTCTCATTGCTATGCCTCTCTTCTGTGACTGGCTCTGTCTCAAAATCTTATTAGCTTTGTTCTCATTCCCTGCCTCTCACCTGGTCCTCGTGTTTTCTCTCCCTCCTTCATCAAACCCTTATTTCTTGTGATGTCAAACTAATCACTCGATTCTCCTTCCTCTCGCCGTCCCTCTGTGGCGTGAAAGCGATTATGGTGGATGTCGCACGAGGTGGTGTGTGTGTGTGTGTGTGATGTTGATCATGCATGTGAAAGGACAGGTGAAAGGTGAAACATGGTCGTCTCTTATCTGCAGTATTTAGAGGCGGATGTGTTGCCGTTGTGTAGCACAAAACGGAATAATACAATATGTACAGCCCGGGATAATTAGAGCTAGTGTCATAGAGGACACGGCACACTTAATTACCTCACATGCTTTTCTCATACTTTAATGTTTAAAGGGCAAGTTTATTCATATAGCACATTTCCACTACGTGAAATTGTTGGCATTTCAAAGTGCTTTCCAAAAAAATATTAAAAGCTATAAGCCATTATAACCGTACATTATAAGCAATATAAGAGTCATTAAAAAGCTAAAAGAATAACAACTTTAAACGCTCAAAGAGAATAATAGCAGTGAAAAATACATAATAAAACTTACAGTGAAGTTTACAATAATAATAGTTTTAGGATTTAATAAAAGGCAGCGGAAAATAAAAGTCTTCAGCTTTGATTTAAAAGAAGAAAGTCTAAAGCTGTTTCCCTCTTCGATACAATATGTTATTTCTAAGCTGGATTGATTTAGTCGTTTATGCACACCGGTACTGAAAACATTTACTGAAGCCGTTTCTGAGCGTGCTGTTGACGCACACTGACCCAAAAAGCTATGCAGTCACTTGAAAACGAGTTCCTGTAAAGCGGTGAATTCGTTTTTCTCAGCATCACAACCCCCCAAAATGACTCATTGTATTACCAGAAGTCAACCCATTAGGTCCAGTAAGATTTGGAAAGTCTAAAGGAACCATTTGATTTATCTGTCTTATCTCATTATTGTGTTTGGGAAGCCAACAGGAAGTCAGCCAGCTCGGCCAGCAGAAGCTTTCGACCGGTACGTCTAAAAATGCGGGAAACTTAGGGACGCACAGAGAGACTTTTTTGGCACATCCATTAAAATAGCAACTTTAATTGGTATGAATGGGGCGCCATCTTTAAATCTAGTTTCCAGTTCTGCCTAATAAATCCGTGTGATGTACGCTTCTTTCTATTTAATGCACAAAAGAAATGGGGGAGTCGAATAGACAATGCATCTTCTCTTGTAAGAACAAATAAAAGAGTCCATTTTAACAAAAGCTTCCTGCTGGAGCAAAAGGCACGGCCTGTTGCACTTATACTCACAAATCCTTTCAGATCTAATATTTACCCAATGGTAATTTGAATTTGGAATAAAAATGACAGCCCTGTGTAATATTAAATTCAGTGACCTGAAATAGTAATGTGGGGGTGATATCATTTGGCCCCGAAGTGTTATGTGAACATCAGGGTTTAAAGTTTAACAGTGTTACCTGAATGCTAATATAAGCACATCACATATTCGTACTGGTAACACCTGTGTAATAATCTGGTTTATTGTATTGGATCTGCATTAATTAAAGCTGCCTATTTGAGTCAGAAAAGTTACCATTCCTGGTGTATATAAAACCACCGGTGCATAGATGTTAGCACACACCTAATAGAGCTACATTTGTTTGATATTTTACATGAAACATTACATTTTAGCGTAGACCACATTTCGTCTACCAGTGCAATATGACTTAGGATAATTACTTTTACACTTATCAATTTCCTCCCTTTTTTTTTTTTTAACCTACACGATTAATACATTATTTAACAAAGTTGTGTTTTATCAAAATTGTATGTTGTAACCAGATTCCTTTAGGTTCCACAGGGGCGAAAAGAGCTCTCAGACAGAATATAACTCATTTCAACATTGCAATCCCGGTTGGTGCTCCTTGGGTTTATTCCAACCCGGTCTCACAGTCTGCGTACAAATGACACGGCTTTGCAAAGGCGTGCA